CAAGGGGACCGGGGGGGTCCCGGGGTACTCGCTGACCCCCCCGGCCCCGCAGCCATCCTGGGCATGTACACGCTGATGAGCAACAAGCAGTACTACGACGCGATCTGCAGCGGGACCATCTCCAACACGGAGGGCATCAACAGTGAGTGCCTTGGGGACACGGGGACAGGGACACGGGGACAAGCCCTCCCGGGACAGGGGACACAGGGACAAGCTCCCCCAGAACAGGGGACACGGAGGCCACGGGGCTGTTCAGGGGGAATTTGGGGACCAGAACCCCTCTGGGATTCCCCGTGGTGACCCCACGCACGCGTGCAAACGCACGTGTCCCTGCGCGTCCGTATCCCCCTGCGCGGTCACGCCTCTCCCTGTGCACACGCGTGTGTGCCCCAGGCGTGGTGAAGCCCGACACGTACAAGCCGGTGCCGGATGAGCCCCCGAATCCCACCAACGTGGAGGAGACGCTGCGGCAGATCCAGGCCAATGACGGGGCTCTGGAGGACGTCAACCTCAACAACATCAAGGTGAGGGACCTGCTGGCAGTGTCCCCAAGGTGTCCCCAGGGTGTCCCCAAGGTGCTAGTCCAGGTCCTGGGGTGCCAATCCCCATCCTGGGGTGTCCCCATGGGGCTGGTCCCTATCCCAGGGTGTCTCCAGGGCACCCCAAGGTGCTGGTTGCCATGCACCACTGTGGCCCCCAGGGTGGCCCTGGGTGCTGCTCCCTGGCCGGGATGGTGCCGGGGTGATGGGTCCCACCCTGGGGTGTCCCCATGAGGCTTGGTCACCCTGTCCCAGGGTGCTGCTCGTCCCTGCAGGGTTGGTCCCTGTCTTGGGTCATCCCTGGGGTGTTTGTCCCCATCCTGGCGTGGCTCCAGGGCACCCCAGGGTGCTCGTTCTCATCCAGGAGCATCCATGTCCCCCTTGGTGACATCCCACATGCCTTCAGTGCCGCTTACATCCCTTGCGTGACATCCAGCACCCCCTCGAGGATGTCCCTCTACCCTTGGAGACATCTCCACCCCCTCGATGCCACTTACATCCCCCTGGTGACACCCATGTCCCCCTGCCGCAGGACATTCCCGTCTCCACACTCAAAGCCATCTGCGAGGCCATGAAAACCAACACCCACGTCAAGAAGCTCAGCCTGGTAGCCACCCGCAGCAATGACCCTGTGGCCAGCGTGAGTCCCAGCCCCGTGTCCCCCATGTCCCCACACATCCCCAGACAGGGAGGGGACACAGTCCCCTGCCCCCAGTTCCATCCTGGGCACCAGCAAGCCCAGGTGACGGTGGCTTTTCCACCGTCACCTGGGGCATCGGTGGCCCAGGACATTCCAGAGGGGTGGGTGACACCCTGAGGTGACACCCTGAGGTGACACGCAGGCCGTGGCCGAGATGCTGATGGAGAACAAGACCCTGGAGAGCCTCAACATCGAATCCAACTTCATCACCAGTGCCGGCATGATGAGCATCATCAAGGCCATGTACCACAACGCCACCCTGAGCGAGCTCAAGGTGGACAACCAGGTAGGGACGGGCACCCATGGGTGGCCCAGGGAGGGGACAGGGACGTCCCCAACTTCCCGGTGTGCCTGGTTTCACGCCGGTCCCGCAGTGCCAGCGGCTGGGCGACACGGTGGAGATGGAGATGGCCACCATGCTGGAGCAGTGCCCCTCTGTCGTGCGCTTCGGCTACCACTTCACGCAGCAAGG